GCCTTCATCTCCCTCCTTTGCCTCCCCCCTTCTGCCTCTTTCTCTCCAGTAGACACTGCAGCGACTTCAAAAGGACTTCAGTCACTCCTAGATCACAGCCATCCCACTTGGAAACTGCGCTGCTGTAGAAAAGGCCCACCAGGCAGATACAGCATTGACAGAGCAGCTGACAAGTAAAGGGATGACTTATTTGTGAACCTCACAGCTGGATAAATGCAACAACCTCCCAGTTGTGTTTTCTCTCTTTGGTCAACAAATATCTAAAAGCTTCCCAACACAGCAGGGCTTATTTCAGGTGCTGGATACTAAGATTGAGGACAACTTGTCCCTGCTCTCATGAAGCCTGCAATTTTGGAAATTAGATGTATGCGCACAGGCATACATGCTATGAGTATAGGCTGACAACACTGTCACCTTCCTCCAGTGTTAAGAACCTGGGCTCTGTCTTACACCCCCTTGCCTGACGCTCTGCTCTATAACTTGCCGAACAGCTCCATTCCTCCACAGCTGACCGTCCTCTGCCAACTCTGTTGGACTCCACATGTCAACAGACTCCCAACTATATGCGTGCCAGGGTCTCTCCATTTACCTCTCCCAGACTCTCTATCACATCTCTCTGCCCTGCTTACCTACTTGGGTAGTAATTCCTCTTGCTGTCTTCCCCTGACACCACCCTCTCCAGACGTCAGTGCTCTGAGATCTGAGGTCTCCAAACTTCTTAAGTGGAAGGAGGAAACCAAGTTCATATTCAGGAGAGTGTGTGGAGGGCTGGAAATCAGTGGCCTTTTAAAGGCTGAGGTCATTGAAGGGCCCATCCTCATGGTCAAGCAGTCAACTGGATGCCCACTCTCTAGACAGTTGGAGAAGCAGAGAAAATGTTTTGTTTTTCCTTCAGTAGTTATAGACTCCACTTCCTTTTACTTCTGTCCACAATTTATTAGGTTCTAGCTTTTAAATAAAAAACTTTCAGTCATGTTTTGTCTAATTAGCTCTTCATTTTAACTTCTTGTTCCTAATTTGCTCTAATCTGACAGTGTGGCCTGAGGCCTCTGCGGAGGGCTGACATTATCTATTAGTGAGTATTTAAGTGGTTATCAGTGGGAGAAACAGACGGAAAGAGACGCTGATAAAGACATTTCATCCCTAAAAGATATCCCTGTAACCCCACTGCACCGAGGGTAGAGGCCGGAGGCACACCTGTTCTCTGGGGCTGGAGACTCTTCCGACAAGCATCTGAGGGAGCGGGCCGCTGGCACACAGGAGTAGAGGCCAGGGACACTGCTAAACATTGCACGGCGCACAGGCCAACCCCACAAGAAAAAAAAAGATGTAGACCCAAATGTCAGCAGTGCCGAGGCTGAGACACTCTGGACCACAGCATCTTCAAAACGCCAAGGAACATTACTTAACTACTTCCCGCTTGTGCCAAGGTTTATCTCAATTCTCTGAACTGTCAGTAACACCCCAAAGGGCTCGGCCGGCTCTAATGGCTGAACTTCTGCTTGTGGCCTTTTGCCCAACCCCACCTTAAAGTTCAAAGTGATTGCTCACTAAACACACCATCGGCTGGTTACCCTGAACCACATGTGCATGTCTCTGGCTGGCCCACATGACCAGTAGCCGTTCCACATTATGCACACATGAAACATGTTTGGGAGCTGCTGCCAAAACCTGTGATGCTGGTTGTGCTGAGAGACAGGGACATAGCAGGAAGACAAGTAAAAGTAAAAATCTTATGTGGCATGAAATTCCACTAGGCTTATGATGCCTTAACAATTTTATTAATAAGAGAGAACACAAATGAACAAATTCTACCTTAAATGTGACAAAAGCCAGCTTCTTCTAGGAGTCTTTGTCTCTCCCTTCTTTCCATTATTAGGGGCTATAAGGAATGAAGGAAGAAGACAGGATGGAGCCTGGAAATGGCATGGCACCAGCTCAGCATGAGTTGAACCTGAAAATCTCTCAAGTGGTCTATGAAAATGAAGAGAGAACCAGGACCTGTCAAAATGGATCAGACTTTCTCTTTTCCTTTTCTTTAGCTTGAATTGCAAGACAATGGCAATTACTGGGTGGGGTCAGGTTAAAGGAGAAGGTGGATGCAGTACAGGGAGACTGTCTTATGGAAAATCTTCCCCAACACACACACACACACACACACACACACACACACACACACACACACTGACTCTTCTGACTTCTGATGCTAATGCTTTCACCTTTTCTCATTTGACCAAAAAGTAGAATTTGAAATGCACTCTGGGCATGTGAGTCTTGTGGGGCCATAATGAATGTAGGCCAGAGTGCCACTTCTGACTGTTAGGAGGCAGCCAGAGCTGGTTCTGAGCTTAAGAGAGATTGTTAAGCAGCTGAGCTGAGCTAGAAAAATAAATTTATGAGAAATGAATAAGAGAAAGAAAATGTTCCAAGTGAACGGCAGAAGGAAAAACACACACACACACACACACACACACACACACACACACACATTGTCTGACTCTTCTGACTTCTGATGCTAATGCTTTCACCTTTTCTCATTTGACCAAAAAGTAGAATTTGAAATGCACTCTGGGCATGTGAGTCTTGTGGGGCCATAATGAATGTAGGCCAGAGTGCCACTTCTGACTGTTAGGAGGCAGCCAGAGCTGGTTCTGAGCTTAAGAGAGATTGTTAAGCAGCTGAGCTGAGCTAGAAAAATAAATTTATGAGAAATGAATAAGAGAAAGAAAATGTTCCAAGTGAACGGCAGAAGGAAAACTGGGTGTGGTCTGTCATTTATGGGCAAAATACTAACTTATGAATTGTTTGTGATTTCACAAGTTCATCTGACTACTAGAAGCAACAATAGCACAGTAGAGAAGGAAAATAAAAGTCATTCATTGATTTCTGGGTAGGATCTTTGCAAATTTTCAGGAGAAAAATTAAAAAAAAAAAAAAACAGTTCAGAAAAGTTGATCATCTTGCCCAATGTCACCCGGAGATTCAGGATCAGAGGTTGGTCTTGGGATGTCCCCAGGCAGTCCAGTAACCATGCTGTACTGTCTACACAAGTAAGAAAGGTGCAGAGCAGAGGAGGAGCTGCCCAGGTGACTGGGAGGTCAGAGCGAAAAGGGGACGTCAAGGCAGGAGGGAAGGGACACTCCAGAAGCAAGGGGCAGGGAGGCTGCTGTCTGGTCTGGGTGTCATCCTACCCACGAGCGACAAGTTGGGAGTACGCTGAGGGGGCATTTCCCACACACGGGGCTCTGGTAACTGCTGCGGCCCAGAAGACTTCAACAAGGAGGGAAACGACTAAGATGGAGTCTGCAAGTTCTTTTCAAAATGTCAGCATTCCTTAGACTCACACGACTGTTTTCTCGGCCCTCTGGAATTTGTTAATTTATTCAACAAATATTTACTGAGCACCTGTTTTGTGCCAGGCACTGTTCCTGGCCATATGAATAAAACAGACCCTTAAAAGACAGGCCCTTTTCCTCTGGAGGGTGTTCTAGTGAGATATAGAAAAATAAACAAATAAATATGAGAGTGTCTAATCACATTAAGTGCTATGAAGAAAACTGCACAGGGTAATATGAGAGTGACTGGAGGATCTCCTTTTGGTCGTTAGGAAAACCTCTTTAAGGAGGCGGTATTTGAGCTGAGACCTCGAAGAGAAGAGCCGGTGACAGAGTGAGACAGCTGGTTAGAGAGCACAGCCCATGCAAAGGCTCAAGGACAAGGTCAAGTGATCATGAGACCAAGGGTGGCAGGTTCAAGGAAACACAGAATGTCTGTGTGGCTGTGACTCCGGGAAGAAGGAGGAGCAGATGAAATGAGGTCATCAGGGTGAGCTCAGCCAAACCAGAGTGATGCATCTGTCCATTTAACAATTATCAAGCATCCACTACGTGCAGGGCATTGCTGAGGATATAAAAAAGAAAGGTGAAACTCCTGGTTCAAGGGTTCTGTCTGCAGGGAAGAAATCAGGATTTAGCAGGGGTGCAGAATACTTACACAATTGTGTTAGAGAGTATTCCACTCCAGGCAGAACCACGATGTGGACATTACCATGGTGCTTAGCAGGGGAAGGGGCTTTCCAGAAGCACTTGAATCAACACACCCATGCACCTACTCGAGCCAGTTTATAATGTGAAGAAGGGAAGGCACTAGCCGTCCAAAGTCACGGTATGAGGTCTCAGATCCGGACATCTGCTCCGCTGGGGTCGGGAGGTGAGGTCATCCCAGAGATGAGTCACCGAGCCCACCTTTCGCCACCGGGTGAGCCTTCTCGGTCTTCGTGGGTGGGGCAGGGCCGTAGGAATCCCCCCACCCGGCCTAAATCCGGCGCACTCAGAAAACCCAGACAGGGGAGCTGCCAAGACCAAGGCTCTGATTAGCACCTGATTCACCCAAGCAGTCAAGGCAGGGCGGTGACTGCTGGTAACAGGCCCCCGGTCTCCCCGGGGAAAGGCCTGCGGGAGTTTTGGTGACCGTGATCCCAGGGGAGCCTCCGTGACACGCTCCACCGGGTAGGGGCGCGCCTGCGTGACCACCGGCCCCGCCCAGACTCGGAACGCGCACGGCTGCGGCTGGGGCGCGCGTGCGCCCTGGCCCGGGCCTCCGAGGAGCCCCAGTCCCCTGGCCGGCCGCCCGGGAGCCGTAATTCCGGAGGCCGCAAGACCCCAGGAGTCTTGTCCCTGTATCCGCCCGCCACCGCCCCCACTAGACAAATCCCTTTGCCCTGGCCCAGCCTCCAAGGAGTCGTGTTCACAAGTCCGGGGGACGGGCGTGACAGGCGCCCAGCTCACTGGGGGGCGGGGGGGGGGGAACGTCGCGAACCCCTTCCCACAGGGGCGCCGGCGCCTCTGCCTGGCGGTCGGGAAGTCCGGGGGCGGAGGGCAGGCAGGAGCGGAGCGGTTTGACCGGCCGGGCGGCCGCGGGCCCCGCCGTTGGTCCGCGGGAGCGCGATCCTCCCAGTCCGCCGGAGCGCGCTCCTCCCCGCCCGCCCCACATGCCCTGACTGCGCCTGCCGCCGCGCCCCGGGCTCCAGACCGCGCGGCCGCCATGGGGAATGGGATGAACAAGGTAACGTGCCCCCGCGCCTCCCTCTGCTTCCACCCCAAGCCTCCCTGCGCGGGGCTTTTGCGGCGAGGGGCGCCCTACGCGCCTGGGCCCGGAGGGCGGGGGCCGCGAGCCTGCGCCGAGAGGCAGGGCCGCGCTTCCGCCCGGGCGGCGCTCGACCTGTGACTCTCCCCCCGCCCCGCTTCACCCCCAACTCAGCTCTTTGAAGCATCACCGCCCACATCATTACTAAATAGGAGGAGATAAGTGTCTCCTCTTCCGTAATGTCTTCTTCCCAGATTTTTTACCGTGTGCGAATAACTTTTTCTTATGGACAGAAAAGTTGACAGAGGCCTAAATCCTGGGGTGCTTGTAACTGCCCGGGTGTGGGTTACAGATTCGGAGCTGCTTTATCGAGGTCGTGCGGCTGCTCCCCGCCTCTGCTCAGCCTTGCCCTGCCGCCCTCCCTGCCCAAACCCCTCCCTGCTGTGCCTTTTTTGCGGGAAAGGGGATCGGACTCCAGCTGCCTGGGGCAAACACTGCGAAGGATTTTGTGATCTGGTACTGCACGGCTTAAAGAAAAGAATACAGAACTTTTTTTAAACTGCCCTCATGGAAAACAGTGTCTGTTCTCGGGTCTTTGAAGCCGTCCTGTACCAGAGGGTGGACTCTGTCCTCTTCTCCCCGCGCACCCCACTCACCCAGGGTCCGTGCAGGTTCAGCTGTCCTGCTGCGTGGGTCCACGCCGGCTCACGGGCCCCGGGTCCCTTCAGTGTCCGCGGCCGAGGCAGGCAGTGAGGCTGCAGGGAGTATCCCGTGTACCTGCCTCACTGCCCACCTGCCACGTTCACCGTGTCTTTGAGACTCAGTTTGTAAAGGGGTGAGTGTGGGGTTTAGGCCCGCATACCCGAGGTTTTTGTTAACCAGGGTCATATTCCTTGCGAGGGCTTTTTGGGGGGAAGGCGGGTGACAGTAATCAAGTTTGGAAAGAGACTGTTTTTTCCTTGGGTAAATACTTGCATTATGTCTCCATTAGCACTAGAATCCATCTGCACCACGAACTTTTTTTTTTTTAAGTGAAGGCAGAACCTTGAAGGGTCTTCTGCGAGGAGGTGGGCTCTGTTTGCCTTCCCATTAGTTGTGGTTATGCCTCAGGTTTATTTTGGTGTTTTTCCTAGTTTTCTCCACTTGAGGTGTTTACTCGCCACCTTTTTCAGCATTTAATTTGTAGTATTTTTCTATTAAAACTGAAAGAACATACTTAGGGATACAGATCATTGCCTAAGTGTTCAAAATTATTTTCAGATTTTTAGCCAAAGCTGTCATATTCATACATGATTTTTACCTTTCAACGAAAGCAGTATGTTTCTTATTAATGTTATTATCATAATCATCTTGTACTGTAAGTAGAACCAGTATCTCCAAGGTAGAGATGGGGAAACATGGGTAGAGATTTAGAGACACCATTAAATCAGTGAGTTTTTATTGCATGCTTACTATTAGCCAGGTGCTAGTTGGGGGGGGCCAAGGGAGGGTGCAGTGGTAAATGACACAGACAGGTCTTTCATGAAACCTTCAATAGAGACCAGCAGTTGCCCAATAGAAATATAATGTGAGCTATATGTGTAATTTAGAATTTTCCAGTAGCCACATTAGAAAAGTAAAAATAATTTTAATAATATATCTTATTTAACTGGAATATATTGTGAATATTGTCATTTCAACATTTAAATAATAGATAAAATCACTGTTTTGTATTTATATATTTTGTACTAAGTCTTCAAAGTCCGGTGTATGGTTGATACTTAAATGACATCTCATTTGGGATTAGCCACATTTTAAGTACTCAGAGTCACTGTGGCTAATGGCTACTGTATTGCATAACAGCGTGTGTGTGTCTGTGTGTGTGTGTGTGTATGTGTGTGTGTGTGTGTGTATGTGTGTGTGCACACGTGCCTGTGCATGTGTGTGTGATTTGAGAGAGAGAACAAACACACGGTCAGGAGGAGTGGAGGCCCCAGAGGATAGAGAATCAGAAGTAGATGTGATGAGCACAGCCTGGAAGCAGTGTTCAGTGCAGGCTGAGGATCACATGGAGTAAAGACGTTTAAGCTGAGTTCTGAAGAACTGTTCAAAGTTGCAAGATTGTTTAGTGGCAAAATAGATTGCTGGAAGCCAGAAATTAAAAACCTTAACTAGAACTTGTTCATGTATTATTGTGTGACTTGGAACTAGGCTTCATTTTCTTCTGTAAGAAAAAGAATGGTTGATTTGCAGATCTAGTGGAAGTAGTATAAGGTGCTAGTCATAGAAATGCCTTCCTAAGAACATTTATAGATTAAAAGCGCAGTGCCCTTGGAACTGAAAACTTAATTTGCAACGTGTGTGTGGGTCCTGAGGTGCCTGGCACAAGATTTATTTCCCATCTCACAAAAATCGGTCATCCTTGGCCAAAGAGAACTTATGAACCAAACAACGCAGATCCTGTTCTCATTGTTTTGAATACAGCAGTTTTTATTTCTGATCCATGTTCCTGTGGAGGGTCTTCTTATCAACACGTGCCAGTCTCCTATGTGGCAGAATACTGTGCCCATGTCAGCTAGGTGTACATAGCATTCTACACAGCTCTAGAGGGGAAGGGGAAGAGGTGTTTGCATTCTGGGCAATTAAAGATGATGAGGAGACAGGAAAGAGTACAGCAGTTGTTGACTTTTTTTTTGAATCTCATATGATGTGCCTGCAGTTTATCACTGTAGCCCTAGGAGGTCAGTCTGCCTTATCTGACTGTCTGTGCAGATTGGGAAATGGACACTCAGATTAAGTGGCATGACTAAGGTCCTAAAGCTAGGAGGTGGCGGAACTGGTTTTGAACCCAGCTGCCACTGATTTTGATGATAGTAGAAGTCTTTACTTTAAACTAGAACACCAGTTTATTCCAAGTGATTTCTAAAGACGCTGGAAAATAACCTGAAAAGAGCTCCCCAGAGTCCCAAATTAGTTGTAAAATAGGAAAAAGCCATCTCCTGTCTTCCTTCATGTTTGATATTGATAAAGAGGAGAGGGGAAGGTCAGGCAACTAAGACTGGCCAAGGTGTGTGCCAAGTCCTGTTTTGAACTTTACCATGTAGGATAACTCTTCGAACCCCCAGACCGCCATTCCATCCCTCGGCGTTTACAAGTGCCCAGGCCAGAGCCACCCACTGGGTGAGTGGCCGAGCCAGGACTCGAGGCCCAGTGGCCTGGCTCTTTTCTTCATACCGACTGCCTAGCTGTGCTGCTCAAGGCCAGTCTGACAGGTACCTCAAGTAGGATCAGGTCAAACTCAACAGGTTGCTGCAAGCAAATGTGTTTCTGTGGAACCTTTGAGAATTCCTAGTTGAGTTCAAGCTCTCCAGGGTCTGACCACAACATCTTTTGGGGAAGGACCTGTAAAGAAAAGTCCTCATTCTCATCTTATTAGTCTTAAGTATGATAATAACTGATTAAAACCAACAATCATATCTGGCTAAGCATCATACTAGAGAAATGTGCACGTTTTTATCTTGTCAGCCAGAACCAATGACCTAACAGTGGGCTGGAGCATTGCCATCCCGGGGCAGCTTGTGAGGACCAGGTTTGGCTCAGTTCATCAGTCCTGTTCAGGGACCTCTTTCTTCCTCACTGCCCTGTTTTCCCTGAAAGCAGCCTACCTGGTAGAAATGATGCTACCCTAGTCTTTCATGGGAGACTTGCTCTTGGCAGTGGGAGGCAGATCCTTCCCTGAGTGCATTGCCTTGCTGTGAGAAGTGCACTGTTGTGAAAGAAAGGGGCAGAGCTGTCAGAAAGCCTGATTTGGGGTGTCCACCACTCTGCTGTTGCACGGATGTGTTCTTGAACGAGTCACTCAGTGTTCCTAAGCAGCAGTTTCTTTATTGCCCTTGATTCGTAGGGATGGTGGTTTGCTCTGCTAGTAACGTTATTTGTTCTAAAATGACTACAATGTTACCTTCCCCAATTACTACCCAGATTCTTGTAGAAACAGATGAGAATGTACTAGAAGACATTTTCACAAACTGCAACATACAGATTGTTGTTGTTGTTTTAGTTGCTAAGTCATGTCCTACTCTTTGTGACCCGGTGGACTGTAGCCCACCAGGTTCCTCTGTCCATGGGATTTCCCAGGCAAGAATACTGGAATGGGTTGCCATCTCCTGGGAGCAGTCATCTCAAATGAGATCTGAGTGACAGGCAGCCATCCTGGTAGACCATGGGGTGTCCACACCCTCAGGAGAGGAAAGGACTTACTCCTTTAGCGCCTGGGACGTTCTCACATGGCACATACAGACTTGCTTTGATCTGTCCTTACTTCTCACCATGGGGTGATGACTTCACTCCCCCTGTGTTCTCTATTCTGGCTCGAGTCCAAACTCTCCATGAAGTCACTGATCAGCCACTTTGTCCTCATGAGCCAGGAGGAGCCTGAACCTGATGGGACATTGTTTCATTCCATTTTCTCTTCCTTTTTCCTTAGTCATTACCAGCAGCAATTATATTGGGGAAATCTACCAGTCATATTTAGAGTTTTAAGTTTGAGTTGAGGTTGATTGATGTAGACATTTAAATATTTATGGGCTTTTTATTCTCCTTGAAAACAAAAATGTAGTTTCTCTCCCTGTCAATGGCCAGTTCTCCAGCTTTCCTGGATCTTGTTTTATAACTCTTTATGGAAGAAACTACAGAAATTGGGATTGAGCAATTGGCTCAGATGTTAAAGAATCTGCCTGCAATGCAGGAGACCTGGACTTGATCCATGGGTTGGGAAGATCCCCTGGAGGAGGGCATGGCAACCCAGTCCAATATTCTTGCCTGGAGAATCCCCATGGACAGAGGAGACTGGCAGGCTATAGCCCATGGGGTCACAAAGAGTCAGACACAACTGAGCAACTTAGCATGCAGTTTGGTTTCTGTTTCTAGCCCTTGAAACTGTAATTTATTCTTCCGGTCTGGAAAATGGAGTTGAAAGTTTACTCACACAACTCTGTCCTCTCTTTACAATTAAAATATTTAAATGCATATAAAATGTGCAGCTTGCCTGGTTTTGAGTGAGTTGCCTCCCTGATGTTGGTGAGGTCAGACCTCTCCCCTTGCCGGCACTTGGCCCTGGGGTCTCTTCTGGGCGCTGATCTCCTTCAACTGCCCTCCCCCCCCCACGCCTGCCAGCACAGTTGGCACAGTGTTGCTGGCCTCAACCTTCCCAGAGCAGAAAGGGGCAAAGCGGGATCTCTCAGGCCTCACCCACAGTGGTTTTCCATCTCTCTCTTCTTTGCCTGGCCCCTCCCACCTGGCTCATGTTGTTCATTCATTCATTGAAGAGACATTTGCCTAAGTAGTGATCTGCCGATCATGCAGCAACCACTCAGGTTTAGAGAAACGCATTAACAGATACGATGCAGGCAGCGTATAGGGGTGATAGTCATTTATCACAATATTTAAGGTTTTTAAAAATATACAGTTGACTGTATTCGAAGATGGCGATGTTTCCCATGAAACCTAGATGCTGGAGCTGGGGAGCCTGACTTGCGTCTCTGCATCGTCACCTCGGCGGGTGTGGGGCGGAGGCTAAAGGCATCAGAACCTCCATCCCCGAAGGACAGCTCTTGTTGAGGTATCAAATTTCCCAGAGCTATTTGGAGCCCTGGGAAGAATTTAATCTGGAGTCCCACTGTCAACTTGGCACCTTGAAGGCAGGTTCAGGAACCCTTTGGGGGACAGATCCAGAGGTAGAGGGTTCTCTAAGAAGCTGTGTCAGTAGATCAGATGGGAGCTGGACAAAGGCCTGCACCGTGGTTTCCAGAGGAGCAGACTGGTTGGGATTCCAGGGAGGCGTGGAAGCCAGTGCTGACCGAGGCAGGAGTGACGCCCGGAGGAGGGCGGACTCTCCTGGTGGTCCCTGCAGCGCCGGGGGGCTGCTCTCCCAGGTGGGCAGGGCTTTGCTGCCCTGTGACCTGCTTGAAGATTTGTGGAGTTTATTTACATTTGTGCATTTTTCTGGGTTGAAAGGCCTACATCAGGATGCCTAGTTGTAAGCAATGGAATCCAAATGTGTCTGCTTGAGGTGGAACAGGGCGGAAGGCCGGGAGGGCTGGAGAACCAGATTCAGGCAACTCTGCCCGGACCAGATCCCAAGACTGGTCTGGGGAGAGCATTTCTGCAGCTGCCCCACGGCGCTGCCGCTGCTGCCACTGCCAGTGGGCTCTGCGGGTTCCGCCAGCCCTGGGCCCCCGCTACCAGGCAGGGTGCTGGCGGGTGCTGTGCTGTCTCTGCTCCAGCCCGGAGCAGCTGTGGAGGCCTGCCGTTGCTGTAGCAGAGAGCTGGTGGGCTGGGGGCTGGTGCTGCGTACCAGGCTCCAAAGTGGGGGCTTCCAAGTCTTGGAAACCAGCAAACAGCTGTCAGTTGCAGGGTTTGTAACTCTCGAGCAGACCCATGAGACGAAGGGCCCCAAGCAGCGAGGGTCTCTTCCCTCTCTAGTGAGAATACTGGGAGCAGAGCAGGCGATATTCTGAGGTGGAACTGGTCAGGGACCCTGGGAAAATAGGGCTGTCTGGCTTGATGGAGGCTGAAGCGAGGCGGGGCCCTTCAGAGGCAGGAGGCCGTGAGGGAAGTTTCCGTTTTGGCCTCCATTTTCTTTGGAAAGGGTTTGCCATCGAACATTTTGATCTAGAAGAGGACCCAACGAGAATGTGACTTTCAGAGGTGAATTTGATGAAATAGATAAGTTCAGTGGCTACTTCTGCAGCCTATGAGGTTCCAGACGGGTCCTTGGCCCCACAGCCAAGGGCCAAGGGCTGCGATGGGGCTGGGGGTAGTGGACTACAAGGGGCTGAGCGTCGGGAGGAGAGCTCCAAGGGGCTCGTTCAGGAGCCGTAGAGCCGTGGCTTGAGGGTAGTGGAGCCCAGAGGTGAGTTATTCACACACCCCTGTTTCTTCTATTTAAAGATAATATGAAGCATATTTGGTTTTGTTTAGTAGAGAAGATGGTAGAAGTACAAAGAAGAGAAGGAAAAATGGGTCGTAAAATCTTTTCCCCAAATAGCCCACTTGAATTTCTGAAGAAACTAAATGGAAGTAATGTGTGTGCACTATATGGAAACATGTTCTTCCTGACCTCCAGACCCCAGCGCCCCATCAGGGTGAGCACCAAGAAAGGCACTCCTTCATACTCATTTTGATGTTTCTGAGAATCAGTAAATACAAATACTTTCTTCTAACAGCCCCACACACCTAGCATCTCAGTGGCATTTGACCTGGAGCCCTGGACACCTGTAGGGTTTCCCGTCTCTGCACCCTCCATGTCACCTCCTCCGCACCTGCTCCCAGAAGAGACCCATCTCTCGCAGGGCTGGCCGTCTCCACCACTCCCCTGCCCATCCTCCTGTCTCCCGGCCCACTCCTCTGGGCCCCAGAGTGGTCACGGTGCCTCCTCCTTTCTGGGCGAGGGGCTCAGAAAGGGAAGGGGACATTGGCAGGGCCATGTCTCTTGGTCATACTGCATCCCCAGTGCCCAGAGGATGTCCATGTGTGACCGGAGCTCAGTAAACCGTCCATCTACTAGAGCCCTTCTGCTACTCTGGAGAGGCAGACCCGCTCTGTGACCATGGTGCAGTCTGTCATAACTGTCAGCTGTGTGAATTGGGAGACTTTCGTGGTCAATGTTATGAAAGAAAAATAATTTCAACACATTAAAAATGACAGTGAAGATTTTATTCAAGACATTACAAGTGAGAGATGGGGTTCCACTCCCAGGAAAACGGGGACAGGTGAGTGGATGGAAAATCACTGACGGAACTTGGTTAGATGCCAAGGGTGGAGGAAGAGGAGCTTGGCTGATACTAAGAGCGGGTGGATGCTTGACAACTGGCTTAGCAGGATTCTTTAAGTGTGGCCAAGGACCAGGCCTGCAGAGGAGACTCAGAGGAGCCTGAGCCACGCTGTCAGGGAGGCTGTCTTTGTCGCCATCAGGGAAAAGAACTGCGCTGGTTTTGCCCTCAGATGTCTCAGGACAGACCCTGGGGGGCTGGAGACGGTAATGACAAAGCCCTGCACAGGCAAGAGCTGCAAGGGAATGCAGTTTGAGCCATCTCCTGGATGAGCTTGCGTTGTTCTTCCATTTTAGAACAGGAATCATGAACTATCTGTTCTAGTCCACCCTTGCTCCCAGGAGAATTCCACAGACTGTTTCAGGAGAGACATGTTGAGTGTTTGATCTCCTTGGCAATGGATGCCAGGGTTTCCTCTGAGATAGTTTTGTATTTCCTGGCTCCTGGGCGAACCCTGCCTGCCTCAGTCTGTGACTTCAGGCGGCAACAGACCCAGGCCCTCAGTGCCCTAGGGTACTTTCCAAGCCAGCTTTGGCTCTTAGGGTGTTGAGTCAGCCAGAGTGACCACAGGGCCTGGTGCCCACGTCCCTTCTGGGTTTTGCCTCTTGTTCTAGAGTGATTATTAACAGAATCTCTTTTCACTCATGAGTGTCCCATCTTGGTCAATTAGTCCCATGGTTCCCAGCACAGATGCTGAGCCTGCGTCCTGGTAGGTCCCTGCAGTCACTTTTTAGCAGGCAGCTGGTTGTCAGGAAGATGCTCAAAAGAACACACCCCTGGAGGACATTACTGCTCTTGCTTTCGGCTTTCTTACCAGGAGTGGAGAGAAGAGGGAGTGCAAAGCAGACGGGCCGAGAGGAGTGTTTGGTGGTGGCTGATGGGGGTGTCGCCAGGGCATGGGGCTTGCAGTGAGTTGTCACCATTGCCAGCGTGCTGTGTGCACTTGGAAACCACATCGGCAGTGTAGCTTCCCGGGAGATGTCCGCGTTTGGATTTCAGAGTTTCCATACAGAGTCCTGCACGGCAGAGGTTGGCTTCATATTCTGCTAAGCAGGGGGTACCTGTGACCTGAAGTCACCCAATCTCATCTCAGATCTACTGAATCTCTTTGTGGGGCATGGGGCTTTCCAGAAATCTGATTCTGGCTTGAGAACGTTAGAAGAAGTAGACGTTTTGGAGTAAATGTGTGTTCTTCTTGCGTGTTTAGACAGTTCATTCACTCATTTAGCAGCTCTCTACTGAATGGTCTTCGTGGGCCAATCCCTGGACTGGGCGCTGGGTCTGCAGCCCAGCAGCGGGGAGTGCCCTCCAGCTGGTGATGCATCATATGAGGGGAGCACAGAGGATGGGGGCACTGAGCAGGAGCCCCCCAGACGTGGGGGTAGGGCTCAGGGCAGGCCTGAAGGATGGGGAGCAGGAGGGGAGGGACAGCAGGTGCTGGAGCCCGGAGAGGAGGGACTGGGGGACAGGAGGCAGGACGGGAGGAGGGGCTGTGGAGACTCTGATTTGGGGCTGGACTCAGAATGCGGTGAGCACTGTGAGGCCTGGAGACAAGGAGACCTTTTGGTCTGTCTGGGAAAGTGCTGGGAGGCGGGTGTGGTGGGCACAGGCCTCTGTGTCGAATGCCATCAGACTGAAATCTGTAACACTCCTGTCTGGTCTGTCTCCCCATAGATCCTGCCTGGCCTGTATATTGGCAACTTCAAAGGTGAGTTCTCTTTTTTCATTATTGTGGTAGAATATGCAAACTATTAAATATGCCATTTTAACCTTTGTTCAGTGGCAATTGAGCAGCATTAAGTACATTCTCGCTATTGTGCAGCCATCACCACTACCCATCCCCAGAACGCTTTCATTTCCAGCTGAGTCTCTACTCCCACTAGACACTACTTCCTGTCCTGCACCCCAGCCCTTGGAAACCACCTTCCTGCTTTTTGTCTTCTGAGTCTGACTGCTCCAGGGACCTCGTGTGAGCAGGCTCATGTGGCGTTAGTCCTTTTGGGACTGGTTTACTTCATGGAGCTTGATGTCGTTCTTTCGTTGTTGTACCTTGTGTCATAATTTCCTTCCTTTTAAAGACTGAAGAATATTGTGTGGATGAGCCACATTGTGTTTACCCGTTATCTGTGGATGGACACGGGTGTCTTTTGCCAATGGTGAGCTTGCTTTTTTAAAGCTTAGCTTTAGGCTCTCACACGTGGAGTCGAGGTGTGGACTCAGTCTCTGCAGTCTGGTCAGGACACGACCACCACCGGTAGCCTTGTCCTTGTACCCGACGCCTTGGCCAGTGGCTCGAACAGTGGTGTAGAGCCCTGCAGGGCCCACCTTGACCTCTGACCTTCATTTACCTGTACACACATGTTGGAGTTTTATTATCAAAAGAGGATGGCTAAAAGGCACATTTAGCAGTCATATAACTTGTTTATCATCTTTATCACTTTTATTTTCTAGTTAGTAATAAATTTTCAGAGACCTATTTTTTTAGTCACCTGGGGAAAATAAGTGGCAGTTTCATCTCTAGCCAATTATTCTTATCACACATTTCTCTGCAGCTTCTTTGATATTTACTGATATGCTATTAGCTATTGACTTTTCATTTTTAGCTTATTTGTCTCAAAATGCTCTGTAGTTGCAAAGGTGAGTAGAAAGCCACAGAGCAAAGTGCGCAGGGAGGGGAGGGGAGAGGGGCTGGCCCCAGCCCGTGTGGGGGAGGGCAGGTGTGCTCTCTCTCGTGGACTGGCCTGACGCAGGCAGAAACGAGCCTGTTATGCTGGTGGAGAGTCCCTCCTCACCACGCCTCCCTTCCTGGACACACGCGCTGGAACACACTCCAGTCTCTTTCTGGTTGTGTAAATCTGCGAGTTCAGGCTCACATTGACTCTTAAAACGGTCTCTGACTTCTCTGCGCTGAAGTTCACGTCCTCTTCCCTGCTGGGCTCGAAGGGCAGCTAACTGGCCTTAAAGACAATAATGAGCACGCTGGACTGACAGCCGCGCATCGCTGCCAGAAGGTGTTAAAAATAGTCCTGGAGTTCCTGAATTAGTAAGCTCTTTTGTTCTGAGAAAGCAGCGAGTGCTTTGTGGCAGGCAGGCGAGTTGGGCTGGAATGCACGAACATCTTTATGGTTCTTTAATGAGTTATTATTAATGGTTTTGTGGGGAGAGGGGAATGTCTTTGAGTTTGGAAAGAATATGGAATTTAGGATAAGTTCTTGGATGTAGAATTGCTGGGTGAATAGTTTCACAAATCAAAAACTGTAATAAAAACCAACCAAACCAACCAGTACTTCTGCCAACAGTTCCAGCACACTTGGAGATGGCAGACCTTGGTTTGAGCAGCGGAGGACTGAGTTCTCCTAAGACTCCCTGCTCAGGGATAGCGTGTGCACGTGCTTGTGAGTGAGCTGAAGACCCCAAGGCCGGTTCCAGCTGCGTGCATGCTCCTACCATAGTGCCAGTAGCTGTAGACAGCCATCCACCAGTCGCTTGTCCTGAAGAATAAATGCCGTCATCACTAGTGCACTGACACGTGTGGACAGAGCACATTCTCGTGGGAAGAGTGATCCCAAGGTGTGTGTGTGTGGATGGCGCTGCCGCAGGATAGAAAGGCCTGGACTGGATGGGACTGTGAGGAGTGGAAGGAGCAGAGGCGCTGCCAGGAGTCACTTCTGTGCTCTTAAGGGCCAAGCAGTCGGCTTTTCCGATTTGTGGTACCAAGTGTGGTTATATTCAAAACAAAGTAATTTTGACTTCAAACCACCTTTTTTCTTGTTGTTTACCTTAATCTGTGTTACAAATGTATATTAATGGGGTGATGAAAATATTCTAAATTTAGGTTGTGTTGATGGTTGGACAATTCTGAATATACTTAAAACCATTGAATTGTGTACTTTAAAGGGGTGAATTATCTCAGTAACACTTTTTTTTCCACTTTATTTTTTTAGTAGAAGGATAATTGCTTTACAGAATTTTGTTGTTTTTGGTCATACATCAACAAGAATCAGTCTCCTGATTCTTGGTATCCCCTCCCTCCTGGACCTCCCTTCCGTCTTCCTCTCCATCCCACCCCTCTAGGTTGTCACAGAGCCCCTGTTCGGGTTTCCTGAGCCATACAGCAGATTCCCGTTGGCTGTCTATTTTACATAAGGTTGTGTAAGTTTCTACCTTACTCTCTCCATACATCTCTCCCTCTCCGCCACCCGCCCCCCGTGTCTTTAGGTCTGTTCTCTATGTCTGTTAATCCACTGCTGTTCTATCTCAGTAATGCTGTTTTTTTAAAAAAGGAAAAACGTATATTTAAACAGTTTATTTAATTTAAACAGTATATTTAAACAATTATTATGGACATGAGTTTGAGCAAACTCAGGGAGATGGTGATGGACAGAGAAGCCTGGTGTGCTGCAGTTCATTGGGTCCCAGAGAGTCGGACTCGACTTAGCAACTGAACAACAGCAGCAAAACAATTATTGATTTTCCAACTGCATTCCGGGGTGGAGTCAGAATCTGGAAGGTCCTGGCCCACAGTGTCCCCCCAACCGTGCAAACCCTCCCCACACCCCTCCCAGCCCGGTGGCTCTGAACGCCTCTCCTGCTGGCTCCTCACCTCCCTCGTCTGGGAGCCCATTGCTGCAGCTTGACTGTTTCACTGCTTGTCTAAAATATACAGCCTAGTGGGGATTGGAAAATCACATTTGAGTTAAAACGTGGGGGATGCCTGTCTGTGGACCCTAATAAGTCCAGTTCCTGCCAAGTTCAAAGCTCACCTAGATCACAACTTGGGGTAGTTGGGGCCTGGGTGACTGGATGAGTCCCCATGTAGTGGATTGAGAGGCTGTTTGAGGTGGTTGGAGCAATTAAGAAAATCAAAATAAAGCCAACGTTTTTATATTACTTTTAAAGGTTATTTTCCTTACTTTAAAAGTGGTATATGCTTATTGCAGAATGTTTTAGAACGGTGCTTCTTTGTTTCTACTTTTATTCACTAAAGCTTATTTGGAATGTGGCCCTGCCATAGACCTTGAACTAAGTTGGAGCCCAGGAATCTGCCTTTTAAAAATAATCTGGGTAGTTCTTAGGCATGTTGAACTTTTACAGCCATCTGTATTGAATACACACACACACGCACACACACACACAAATGATAAAGAAAAAACTTAACACATAATTCTGTCTCTTCACGATGATCACTGTCTACGCTGATTCCTTATAGCAATTGTCCCCACTGTGTTTGTTGTCTTTATGTGTTTTTACAAGTTGAGTTCATATTGTATTTATAGTTTGGTGCCTTCTCCCCCTTTCCCCTGTTTAATCCTGTATCCCAAGCATTTTCTCATGGCGCTAATATTCTCCCGAAACAGTGATCAGACATTCGGTTTTCAATCATCTTACCCTGTATCACTTTAGAAAACCTGTCCCAGGGGAATGGACCTCCTTCTTTTCTGCTGCACCCTGTTCTGTAGATTAGCAGAAGTTCCAGCTTGAGGGGATTTGGGTGACTTTCTTCTCTGGGTGGGTTCATAGGAAGGGAATATAATTTGGTATCTCCTTAGTTTCATATGCAGATAATTTAATAGCCACGTGACTTATGAACTACTTTGTTTGGACTTTCCAGAAAGTATCCATTTTTAGTTTAGCGTAAGTGGATGCAGTTGTTGTAAACCACATCATACCTGCATCTGGTCCCATTCCCTGCTGTTTTGACATCAGGGTCGATTAGTCTCTGGCAGGTTCCTGTATCTTAGACAGAAGATTGTTTTGTATTTAATTTTAACTTAGATTACTAATCATTAAGAGGTAATTAAAAATATTTGAAATATCATTCTTTTTCCACGTTTCATGTGAAAATCTAACCTGAGGGTCTGCAACTTAACAAGCGTCAGCTACAACATGACTTAGTGGTTCATTTCCTTTAAACAGCAATAATCATCATTATAATATTTATCAAACTACATACTTTTCAAGTTTTATATGACCACTTTGTATCAAAAGACGTGTCAGTCAGAAATAAACTGTTACCCGCAGAATACCTAAAAGCAATAACTCTAGATTCCCTTTGTTGTTCAGTTGCTAAGTTGTATCCCGCTTTTGCAACCCCATGGACTGCAGCATACCAGGCTTCCCTGTCCTTCATTATCACCAGGAATTTGCTCAAACTTATGTCCATTGAGACAGTGATGCCATCCAGCCATCTCTGTTGTCCCCTTCCCCTCCTGCCCTCAATCTTTCCCAGTATCAGGGTCTTTTCCATTGAGTTGGCTCTTCATGTTAGGTGGCCAAAGTATTGGAGCTTCAGCTTCAGCATCAGTCCTTCCAATGAATATTCAGGGTTGGTTTCCTTTAGGATTGATTGAGTTGCTCTCCTTGTAGTCCAAGGGACTCTCAAGAGTCTTCTCAAGAACCACAATTCAGTTACGAATTTTTAAGAAAGAAATATGCAAGTAATTTTGTGCTTTTTCCTAAAGGAGTAATTCACTTGCAAAAAATACTAAAAAGTCCCCCTTTTCTGTGACAGATGCCAGAGATGCAGAGCAATTGAGCAAGAACAAGGTGACGCACATTCTATCTGTGCACGACAGCGCCAGGCCGATGCTGGAGGTGAGGGTGCTGGTCTGTGCTCCCGTCTGTGCTGTGCTCCTGGGGGCAGGCGGGGCGGGGGAGGGGGGCGGTCAGGCAGTGTGTGCTCGGCAGCGGCTCCTATCCTGGCTGCGCGGGGCCTGTGCTTGGCCATGCCTGTGCCTGGCCCTCTGGCTGGGCTGGGCCGGCAGGGGGGCCCTGGTTCTCACCATCCTCTTGTTGTGTCACTGCCTTGACTTTCTTGGCTGAATGCCAAAGAACAAACACTTCTGTTTCCCTTTAGATTTTAAGGACATTTAAAACCCATTTTTATTCCTTTCAAAATTACCCCCCTGTTTTAGAATCCCAAAGAATTCAGGCTGCTCCTTTCCTGACTTTTTTCCATTTGAGCTCAATTATCTATCATTTGCATTTCAGGAAACAAAGCCTCTGAGGATAAATTGTCCCTAGAAATTTTCTAGTGCTTCTCTCTGTAGACGGTCAGTGAAGAAGCTGTTGTTGTGTTTCAGGTTTTAAAGTAAATAGGATGTGTCTGCCTGTACAGTGATTCCAAAAACATCTTCAATTTTACCCTAATGGATGGTTTGAGCTGTTGGCTGGGAGCACAGTCTCTCTCTATTAGCCTTGGCAGAGCCCAAGCTACCTCTTTTCAGAAAATAGTGTGAATATGGTTGTGAAATGTGTGTGTGTGTTTCTATTTCAGGGTGGGGTATTGGAAAGGGAGGTGTGGCTCATTCTGAAAGAATCCTCATTCAAGCAGTTTTCACTTAAGTTCATATTACACAAGAGTAGGTAATATATTCTTATTTCAAAGTTATCAGTTTTACTTGGCCATTAGAGCTGCTGGATTTCAGTCAGTGTCCAAAAAGATGAGAACTTAGAATAATAAGCAATTCAACTGGCCTCACCATCAGAGGCCCCCAGGAGGTGAACAGACTTGAACTCCTTTCTCCAGATCTGAGCTCACGATTCCCTCTGGTTTATCTCATGGTTTTGTTAAGGTGCTGTCATCTGTGTTGCAGTGTGGTTTTGTTGGAAACAACAACAAAGCATCATTTTTTGGAGGCTGACATCTCCTTTGAAAATAGTTACTCCATTTTCCATGTATCAACAATAGTTCGTTAAAACACACGGCCAAGTTTGTTAGAACACATGGCCTAGGTGACAAGTTAAATGTAATCTGGTCATGACTGACTTCCTCTTCAATCATAAGATGAGACTTGAGGTTTCCTTCATTTTAATAAACTGCATCGATGTCCTGCCCACCCTCACCCTCCAGGCTGCCTCACGGCATTGTACCCCGCTGCCCACAGCACACCGTCATGTAGGAAGGCAGCTGGGAGTCTGTGCCACCGCCACTTCTACCCAGAGAACTGGCCTTCAAGTCTAGGAGGAAAGAGCCCCGCCCTCGCCTTTCCCACCTCCCCACTTTACACGCAGGAGCAAGGGCTGGAGGGCTGGCAAGTGGAGCGATTGCAACCTGGTATAAACAGAACACTGTTGATGTAAAAGTCTCAGTGTTCTGGGCAAACTGTGTTCCCTCACCAGCTGTGACTGCGTATCCTCTTTATTCCCTGTGAGAAATAAGGGACCCTGTGCCTTTTCCCCACGAGACTGCCTCTTTCATTTTTAGATGTCTGTTTCAGGCTTTGGGTGCTGTTATTATCTCACTCAATAAGTACTTTCCTGTGATTTCATGTTTATTTCAAGTTAGATCTCTGTTTTATAGCATAACATAGTTTATCGCTGTCCTTATTTTATTCATTTTTAACTTCACAAGTGATTCATGAGTATGTTCTTATTTTAAACATTAAAGCAATAGATTCTCTGATTGCACAAGTGGGGAAAACAGAGGCATTAAAGTGATGTGAGTGGGCATGCTCACCTTCAGGGAAGGGACAGAGGGAGTCCTCCGGGGTTCTGGGAGTTCCAGACCTTTGCTGAGCCCTCTGCCTGATGCATAAATGTAGTCATCTGCCTGATGCATAAATGTAGTCATCTCTCTTAAATTTCAAACTCAGTTCCAGAAGCCATAATCTCACCAGGCTGAGATGAGTCTGGGAAGTTATCTCCGTGTTGTGCTGGTCCTGACCCTGGGGAGGGGACCAGGGGAGCAGGACCTGGATGGGGTGAGAGGGAAGAGCATGTGCAGCACTGACAGCCAGCCTGGCGAGGGTAAGGGGGCATAGAGCACAGGAGACGACAGAGCCGCCACCTCCTTCCCTTTCTGGGGTCTTCAAAGCCAAGAGGGTTTATGGAATGCACCCCACCTTTCTCTGGGCAGACCCGGGGTGGGGCAGGCTAGACGTGGAGAGGCAGTTACTGTTTAAAATTGAGAGGTTTTGGTCCTGTCACATCCTAGTGGAAGTCCTAGGGATCTAGAGACTCTGCCTGGGGGAGTGCCAAGTCATGCCTCCTGGCAGTGCCCTGCCTGCCAGGGACCACCTGCTCATCACTAGCACCCGGGAGCCCAGTCCGCACGATGGCAGCGTCCTGGCTGCTGTGGTGTAACCGGACCCGGGGCCTCGCACGTCACCTCTAGCAAGTGGCAGAGCTGGGGAGGGTCCATTGCCTCGTGGCTTTATTTCAAATAGGAGTTAAGCCCAAACCGTAATTATAACATTGAAGGAGGAACATCCCTTCCTCTGATTCCACATTGAGGGCCGGGCAGGGGAGCTGCTTCTGCTGAAAACGTTTCCTTTTTTGTGAGCTGGGTCTTCATCACCTACTGGTTGCTCCAGATTTGAGGGGGTGGTGAAAACTGCTGTCACAAAGACAGTGCTCTTTCAGAAAATCAGAAAGCCCATGTTGTTTGTAGGGGCTGAGGAAGTAATATTGAGCAATGAAAGGTTTCTCCCTTCCCCTGAGAAAAAAACCAGAGGTCTGTCTTTCTAATGTAAGAATTTCAGAGTTTGTTTCATTTTTCATGTTGGTATTTAACCAGAGCACCTGCAGGAAACAACTATTTTTCACTATTAACAAAAATACTTTTAAAGTATTTTCATTCCTTCACTGGGCTAATGACACAAAAGAATTTAATTTTAAAGTGATTTCTATTTTCAGATTAAATAGAAAAAAATAGTTTGCATACATATATTCACAACAGGGCATTGTGTGCACACCAGATAGGTATTTTGAGCTTGAGTTCAGCTTGGATATTCTTCCCATTTTGAGTTGTGGCTTATATTTTAAACCATTTATGCATTTGTTTTTGTTTTCAAGAATAGGATGTTTTCATAGGCCAGCATTTATTCCTGGTGATTCTGTTTTATATTTCCTTTAACATGAAAGACATTTTCTTGAGGTGTCCAGGCTCAGAATTTAACGCAGTTGGTTCTGTTTGCAGCTGACCACTTCTGCTGGCTCTGATCCTTCCTGTGTCTGTGTGTCTCCCAGAGACACCCAGTCTATGTGGACAGTGGTCCTGAGTGCTGAGGGCTCCTGGGATGGCCTGGCCCCCTGCCACGTGTCCGTCTGGGGGCCCGCTCTGCCTCTCACCCTCAGAAGCTTTGCTGCCTTCCCAAATGCAAATAAGCCCCATCCAAGGTATGCAGTGGCATTTGAAGTTTAAGAGACTTTCTTCTGTGTCCACGTCTCTCTCTCTCCCTCCTCTTGCCCCCTGCCCCAAATCCTCCCGTCCCTGAGAGCTGGGCTCAGCTCTTGGTCTGAGAAGGACACGCCAGTGCCCGCCAGCCTCAGGCCTGCTGCCCTTTCCCTGTAATATCTGTGGGCATCAAATGACTAAGATCTGCCCTCCTGAGCTGGTCCAAGGCCGCTGCGGGCAGTGGGTTTCTTGGTCTCCCCAGCATGCAGCCCGGCTCTGGCTCTGCATGTGCTTCTGACGGTCTCTGCACCGCATGCTTTTCAGCTTCACCACGAGGTGAGAAGCCACGTCTCTGGGGGTCTGTGACTGACTTCAGGGTATGGAAGAAGAATGGTCTTACTGGCCATAGCGCTCTGTGAGGTCAGAGGTCAGGTGGTGCAGGGCCACCTCCCCGGGCACCCGCACTGTCAGGAACCCCATGTGCAGATGCCCAGCACGCACGCTTGGTGTGGCCTGCAGGCCAGAAGAGCCTGTTGCTAAGTTCCCGCCACCGAGTGACGCTCCTGCAACTCTGACTGGTCTCAATGGTCTTTCGGCTGCCTTTGGTCTGCATTCGAAGCCTGTTCCTACAAGGACAGGAGAGTCTAAGATACGAACAGGGGGTGATTAATTAAAAGAAGACTTCCCACAGCCACGGCAGGTGAGGTGGGGACAGAGTTCGCTGGGACCTCATCTCAGGCCTGCTTGGAGGCAGACCATGGGAAGCTGAGAGGACTTCCCAGGCTCCAGGCCTGCATTCTGATTCACAGGGAGACCTGTGCCCCCTTGTCTTCCTCAGAGGTTTCCTAGGCAGATCCAGCTCTGCCCTCCTCCCAAGCTGGTGACCTTGTCAGCTTGGGTCTTAGGACCCTGAGCCCCCTCCTGTCCACGGCCTTCAAGTCACGGGAATTGTTGCCACGAGGAAGAGCCTGCTGGACACTACACACCTCGTCCCGGCACAGGGGTGTGGGCAGGAGGCTCCCTGCAGTTCTGCTTGTAATCAGGAAACTGGAGCCGACCCGCACACCCAGCAGAAAGGCCCTGGTCAGTGGTGATGCCTCTGTAGAAAAGAAATACTCTGCAGCCACTGAAAAAGAAGAGGGGGGCTTACACGTATGCACAGGAAACAGTTAACTTTTAAGCAAAAGAAGCAAGTTGTAGAATAATATCCACACTATGATCCCATTTATGTAAATTATACATTAATAATGTACTCCTGTATGTACAAATATGGGGCTTCCCAGGTGGCGCTAGTAGTTAAGAACCCGGCTACCAGTGCAGGAGACTTGGGTTCAATCCCTGGGTCTGGAAGATCCCCTAGAGAAAGGTATGGCAACCCTCTTCAGTATTCTTGCCTGGAGAATCCCATGGACAGAGGAGCCTGGCGGGCTACAGTCCCTAGGGTCACAAAGAGTCGGACACGACTGAGTGACTTAGC